TCCTGCATTCCTATTTTATGATACTAGTATAATAAACAATACATTTAAATATCTTTTTATGATATTAAATATTTTCTACATCAATATTTTTAACAGTCTCATTGTGTTTCATGGAATGAATCTACTATAACCGAACCAATTCCCTATGATAGGACAGTTAGATAGCTTCTAATCCATGAAAAAGGCTACGACAAAACCTTTGTATTTTTTGTGTTGTCTGTACTATATGTATCTTTGTGTCTGCCCATGAAAAATTCTTCAGGTAATTACCTACAAATGGCATTGCTGAGTGAAAATGTATGCACATATTTACAGATATTTCTATGGATTGCCTAGTTTACTCAACTGTTTTGCTAGTGGTTTGGGGGCTTTTTTGTTGTTGTTCTTTTTGGTTTGGGTTGGGTTTTTCTGAGACAGGGTCTCATTCTGTTGCCAGGGCTAGAGTGCAGTAGCATCATCATAGCTCACTGTAACTTCAAACTCCCGGGCTCAAGCAATCCTGCCTCGATCTTCTGAGTAGCTAGGACTACAGGCGTGTAGCACCATGTCTAGCTAATGTTTCTATTTTTCTGTGGATACAGGGTCTCGCTGTGTTGCTCAGGCTGGTCTCGAACTCCTGGCCTCAAGCGATCCTCCTGCCTCAGTCTCCCAAAGTGCTTGGGTTACAGGCATGAAGCACCACACCTAGCCTGTTGTTTTTTAAGAGATAGAGTCTCATTATGTTGCCCGGCTGAACTTGGATTCCTGGGCTCAAGAGATCCACCCATTTCAGCCTCCCCAGCAGCCATGACTACAGGAGTGTGCCACTGCACCAACCCAATTGTTTTTTTATATATATATATAAAATCCTGTATCTTACTGTTATTTTAACTTACCCATTTGTATGTTCTTAAATACACTGTAGTAAACAGGCTATTTCTTTCTTTGAGAATCACTTGGTTTTGTACTACCCACTTTTTATTTCATTTCTTCCACAGATGTGGCAACCTGCTATCCTACAGTTACTTGGTCTGCAACTCTCTGGGTTATTCATTCATTTACCAAATATTTATCAAAATGTACTAAGTATTATAGATTACCATCTCAGTTTGCAACATAAAGAAAGTAAACATTCTAATGGCAAAGCTGAAATTAAAATGTAAGGCTTGGGGGCAGAGAAAGATTTCTCATGAACAATTACTATAAAAAACATGTTATATAATCAGTAGTCTGAGACAATTCCTATAATCTTCACCCCACAGATATGAATATCCATAACAGCTTTAGTAGCTACTTGACTAATAAGGGCTGAGTATACAGAAGACAGCAGAAGGGAAAAAGCTGAAACTTCAGGATTCAATGCTAATAAATTTCTAATATTTTAGCTACTAATTATGGTCATTAGAAAAAAATGAAAAAGCTTACTAGTCCGTAGGCTTTTTGAATCCTTTAAAAATTATGACAACAATATAGCAACATTGAAAATAATAGCTTTAAAATACTAAACCAAGAGTAAAATTACAGGCTGGGCGTGGTGGCTCACGCCTGTAATCCTAGCACACTGGGAGGCTGAGTGAGGCGGCAGGATTGCTTGAGCTCAGGAGTTTGAGACCAGCCTGATCAAGAGCAAGACCCTGTCTCTACTAAAAATAGAAAGAAATTAGCTGGACAACTAAAAATATATAGAAAAAATTAGCCGGGCATGGTGGCACATGTCTATAGTCCCAGCTACTTGGGAGGATGAGGCAGCAGGATCTCTTGAGTCCAGGAGTTTGAGGTTGCAGTGAGCTAGGCTGATGCCATGGCACTCTGGCCTGGGCAACAGAGCGAGACTCTGTCTCAAAAAAAAAAAGAGAGTAAAATTACAGATGCATACAGACAACAGAAGTAGGCAAAATAAAATTTGCTATATGAAGAAGATAGTCTCATAAGAATTTTATTTATAAATAAGTTTTACAAATAATATAAAATTCAGAGGATTATATATTCCCAGCTAGAATCCTTAATTATCCCAAATTTTATCTCATTTCCTTCTCTTTATAATATTATAATAAAACTAGTTGAGGCCAGGCACATAGTGAGATCCCATCTCTTAAAAAACAACAGGCCAGGTGAAGTAGCTCACACCTGTAATCCTAGCACTCTGGGAGGCCAAGGCAGGAGGATCACTTAAGGCCAGGAGTTCAACACCAGCCTGGGCAACACAGTGAGACCTCATCTCTATAAAAAATAGAAAAATTAGCTGCGTGTGGTGGTGCGTGCCTGTAGTCCCAGCTATTCAAGAGGCTAAGCAGGAGCATCACTTGAGCCCAGGAGTTTGAGGTTGTAGTGAGGTATGATGATGCCACCACCCTCTAGCCTAGGAAACAGGGTGAGACCCTGTCTTGGGGGGCAAAAAAAAAAAAAGAAAGAAAGAAAAAAAATTTAAAAAGAAATAAAATGAAACCAGTTGATAGAGAGGATCTAACTTGTAAAAATGGCTCCTAGGTTATATCTAGGTTTCGTCCATTCTTCTAAATCAACTTCTCCTGCATTCCTATTTTATGATACTAGTATAATATCAAACATTTTATAGCTCTATGGTTTCTAAAATAAATTCATATATGCTGTCTCACACCAACAACCCTGTCTGTTATTATTCACATTTTATAGATAAGGAAACTGAGGCTATTCTAGGTTCAAATATTTATGCCAGACCAAAAGACTAAAAAGTCAGTACCTTGGTTCTTCTGACTCTTACTACATATAGTATTCTATTAAATTTTATTGCCCTCTACAGTAAACATTTTGATTAATGTTCTTCATCTACTATCAGATATTAATAAAAAATGAATTACTCTATATTTAATATACTTTCCTTACAAAAGCAGTAAATCATACAAATCCGTTTTAGCAAAATAACAAAAGTTGAAACATAAAAGAACTCAGTATACAAATACCTTAATCATAAAACTCCACATAATCAAGTTTTATATTACGGCATTTAAAAATGCAAATCTGTTATATGAACATCATTCTTACTGTGTCTTCTGGGCAAAATATATGTCCTCCCCCTGCTCCCCCCAGTTTTTGCAACCACCTTTAATTTAATGAAGCGGCCGTCCTAGAGCTAGTAAAACGGGAAGAAAGGGCCTGAGGAAATGTGAAGGTGACCAGTTCTCACACACCCACCATCAGCAGTATCTGCACTCAAGAACCACAACATGCCCCTGCTGCCTACCCATACTATAACCGTGGGCTGGCAGGCACCAGGAGCTGCAGCAGGTGAGTGGGATAGAAGGCTGAGGGGAAACACAAGGGACCGCTAACATGGGGAGGGGCTAACAAGGTCCTACACAAAATATTTCTAAACATTCCAATAGGAGACAATTTCAGGACCTCATGAACTCAGGGTGTTAGGACAATTTTTTGAACATCAATTTTATTCACAAGTTAATATACCAATTTTTTTCTGTATCAATTGTGATTTTTGCCTTTGATTTGAACTCAAAAGCTAAATTTCAGATTTGAAAAATACACTATTAGTAATAATATTCAACTTAACATGATGCTACCAATGACAAGAGTTGAAAAAGTTCAAATCCCACCAAATGATCTCAGGGATGATCAGGATGAGAAGGATAATTACGATGTAATTGACTATGATATGGCTACAGTTTTCTTAGAAGGTACTATCGGTTGAGTATCCCTCATCTGAAATGCTTGGGACCACGCATGGTTAGAATTTTGGATTTTTTAAATTTTATTTTGGAATATCTGCATATACATAATGAGATTATCTTAGAGATGGGAATGAGACCCAAGTCTAAACACAAAATTCATTTATGTTTCATATACACCTTATATACATAATCTGAAAGTAATTTTATACAATATTTTTAATAATTTTATGTATGAAACAAAGTACTGACTGTATTTTGACTGAAATCCATCACATGAGGTCAGGTGTGGAATTTCCCACTTGTGACTTCATAGTGGCACTCAGGTTTTGGATTTTGGAGCGTTTCAGATTTTGAATTTTTGGATTAGGGATGCTCAACCTACATACATATATATGTCCAGTTCTGTTCTAAGCATGAGTTATCTCAATCTTCACAACAACACTAAGGAAGATATCACTATTATAACAAAAAAAGAAACCGAAACTTAAAATATTAAATAACTTGCCTCCCTCACATGGCTAATAAACAGTTATAGCCAGGATATGATCGCTGACAGTATTGATTTTATAGTAGTTAAAAAATGTCCAATTTACAAAGACAACTATTTTAGAACAAAATAATAAGGAAAGATAAATAATTAATCAATTCTTACCTCTTCAGGCAGTTCACTGTACATGGTTTCAGAGGTAGACAATAAAAATATAGGTGAAAACGATGGTATATCTTGTAGCAATGTCAGAAAAGTTGCTCTCACAGTTTCACTGACAGCTTCCCACCAATCACCAATGTGAGGCATGTAAACAATACTAGGTACTGTTCTTCGAGCTTCACGAAAAATCTAATTAGGGAAAGAATCAGCAATTAAAACTCAGACTGATTATTCTAAAGTCTACCCAGTGACCTCCAAATATATGAAATGTGTCAGGCCTGTTACTGTCATTAGTTTCAGCCCCAAAATTTAAGTTCTTTAAAATATGATGCACGAGCTTTACATACAGCTTCTATCTACCCTTGCCCCACCAAAAAAGGGGTATTTTTTGCCATTTAATTATTCCTATTCAGTATATGTTAATAGAATAAAGGTATCAATTGTTCCACTTACTAGGTAAAGATAATAAAGCAAAACACCACTATAAAATATGCTGCAAATAAAGAGATAAACATGCACCTATATGTCACCCAAGTTACAATGCTATCAGTAAGCTTTATACAAAGAAAACGACGACATAGTTTACATATTTGAGCACACTCCCTAAAATCACTTAACGTATAAATTAAATAAACATTTTAACCAAGATGCATCATCTTAAAGCTTAAAATTAATGAACTTCCTGCTGAACCACTTGTTCACCTCCTCCCATTACCTTAGTTCAGTCTTTCATAAAATACTCTTACTTCTTTAAAGAGTAATAAATTAGCAAAGAGCTCTGAGACACTTCTATTGTCAGAAAATACAAAATGAAGTTTTCCTTAGGTGTTAAAAAGAGTCCTCACCATAGTTTCAGTCACCTTCTGCCAATAAGGACCAGGTTGGCTACTAGTAAGCTGCCAAGCAAAACTACTGTCCTTTACGTATAGGTCAACGGCTTAACAGCCCACCAATAAATTCTCACACATTATGACATCTCTTATTTTTAAAAAGTTTAGGTATAAATGTAAAGATCTGACTATATTTCTTCAATCTAACTTGAGAATTCTATTCCTAAAATGTTCTACTTATTTTCCCTTCTTTTAAACACATTCCAATTACTTAGTCTATGTAATATACAAAATACAGAATTAAGAATCTAACATTAAAAATGATTAGGATTATCAGAAACATTCCTAAGAATCAAAAGGATTATTTTTCTTTAATGAGTAAGCATACCACTCGCATGAGTTTTTAAAATACTTTTTATACAGCTTTAAGTTTCCTGTGTAAAATAAAATGTATTGCCAAATCAATAATAAACCAGATTAAAGAGGCTCAAATAAATTATTCCCCCAAATTGGAAAAAATGTAGATGTTATGATCACTCACATCGAAAGTAATATTTGCTCCTTCCCTTCCTTATTATTTGCATATCCACCAATCCAGAACAGTTGTACAGTACAACTCCTTCAGGATTCTCAAATTTTGACCTTTTCTGCAAACACGCACCCGCCTATCCTGGATCTTGGAAATCCAAGGATTATTTTTTTCCAAAGTTCTTGTAGGAAATTCACAAGAGAAAAACAAGCATAAATATTGGCAAAAGGAAGGAACCACACAGAAGCACAAAGGCAACTGAGGCATTTATTTTTTTAAAAAATTACATGCCACCCTAATTAGGCATGGTATGTGGAAGACAGTGACTAACTCCTTTTGTTGCTTTCCAATTCCCCACTCCATGCTGGTAAAACTAGGAAGAATAAGCAGAGAGAGAGAGAGTGAGAATCATATGAAAAAGACTAATGAGCTATATAGCTTACTGAGAAACCTCAAAAAACTAACCACCTAATTCAGCCATGCAAGTTACCACATGGCCAGGGCATAAGAGAGATGTGAAAACACGCCTTTAAAAAAAATTAAAATTTGCCTTTCATTCTACTACTTCTAGGTTAGGTTTTCCAGGACTCTGTGTTGAGAACATCTATCAAAGAGGATGGGCAAAGCAACAAAAGGTTAAGTGATAACAAGAATTTCACAGATCCAGAAGTTAAATACTACGCTGATTTCACTGTATTTGCAAGGCTGAACCAGATAAGCATCACTAGCTGTAAAAGAGATAGGTTGTTTTTTTTTTTTCTGTGTCTTTCTTCTTCCTTTCATCCAATTCTTTCAAAATTAACAAATTAAACATGATATACTACTGACCCTATAAAAAATTTAGATACTGTTTATTTCCAAATCCTTTAGGAAAATATCCTTCTTGGCAGAATTCTTTAAACTATGAAAACCTAAAGTAGAAAAAAAATCAGACAAGTCTAAGATGAATATGGAAAAATAAAAAAGTTTTCTGATCCATGAGTGTATAATTACATTAATTGAGAATTAACCTAAGTATATGAGATACAAATATCCAGGGAATAGTTTTATAATTTTTCTCCTAAACATTTAGGAGAAAATCATGCTTAACTATTAAAACAAGTTTTCCTTTTAATTCCTTACTCCACGTTATCTCAGAATATTAAAATAAACTTTTATATTTTCTTTAAACTTATAACCAACATGTTCTAATTCCTGTTTTTATAATGAAAAATTCAAAAAAAGTTGAGTTTGAGAATTGCATTTAAAAATTCTTACAGTATAAATATCAGGGAAAAAGTTCAATCATATTGTGATCTTTTTTTTCTGTAATATAAAAACAGCTCTTCAGCAGTTTGCTGGTAACTTTTAAAGTTGTGTAATGAAATACATTCTGTGAAATCAAACAACCAGTTATTTCAGAGTAAAAAAATAAAGCCTAATTTAATGAAGCATCAACTGTCTTGGGAATAACTGATGCCATTTGAGAACTAGAAAAATACTCACCTATAGGGTGTCTTGGATTGGTGGATGTGCAAGGTGTAGTAGAAAACAGAAAAACTGTTATAGAGAAAAAAAGACAGTAGGCCAAATTACTGAACCAACCGTTTCAAAATAATTCTGACATGACCAGCACTCTTGCACAAGTAAAATGAACAAACACCAGCATATGTGAACTGTTCATTTTGATTCTTTATTAAAACAATATACTCCATTTCCTCTGGCCTCCTTCTTGCCATAGATGTCACAGCCCCTTAGATAAATAACTTTTTAAAACTTTCTTTACTTAAAAAAAAAAACCACAAGCCACTTCCTCTAAATATTAACATTAAAGGCAAAAATAAGGCCACTGAAGTTAGAGGTAACCATACAAGGAAGCACTAATGATATAAACTGTACTTACATTACAGTTACAAGAGTTCTAAGCATCTCAAAAGCTACACTCTCTAGCTTTCAGCAACCAAATTAAAGCGTTCAGTGCGTGAAAATTTAGTGTATTTTTAAAATTAAGAATTTATAGTCTGGTAATGAATCAATTCCTTCAGAAACTGAAAATTAGAAAAATTTTAAATACAAATGTGAATGAAGCAGAAATTGCAAAGCCAGTATAGCTTTCACTTGCTATATAGGAAGTATACAGGGGCTATACAGGAAAGAGGAAAACTTTATGCTATCCAAGAAACTTCCGGAACTTATCTCAGTCATTTAACAGTATTATAAATGTACTAAAATTACAAAACACAGGTAAAAGAAAAATCTTGAGAGCTAAAACATTCTCAATTTTTACCAAAAGTAAAATGCTGGCTGGCATGGAGGCTAACACCTATAATTCCAGCACTTTACGGAGATGAGGTGGATCACTTGAGCCCAGAAGTGCAAGGTTGTAGTGAGCTGTGATTGTGCCACTGCACTCCAGCCTGGGCAATAGAGCAAGACCCTGTCTCTAAAAAAAATTTTTTAAATAAAAAGCACTAATAAGGTCAATTCCTTGTGCAATGCTATCACTAATTATTAAAATAAATAATAACTGCATTACTGATTCCTTTATTCCGTTTATATTACTTTATTCCATTTAACTAAGATTTATTGAGCATTTTCTGTGAAAAGAAGGCACTGTCTAGATTCTGAAGATTCGGGAATCAAGAAATAAGGTGTAAATTTCTTTACATGCATAGAATATCAGCCTGTTATAAAATACATCTATACTAGTTTCTGAATTATGGCAGTAACACAAATTAATATTTTATGAAAATTAAATCACTCAAATTCTTTTCTTGATATTTTCATTCTCCAGGTCTTCAAGAGTTTCAGTAAGTGTGATATACTCTAGATCAGACTAATTTAATTTGCTTACCACTCAAAAAAGAAAAAAGGTGTTGCTATGGAAAAACCCAGACAGCCATGTGAGCAAACATAAAAGCATCCAAAGTATACACTGACTGCTACAGAGAAATCCAGAAGCCCATAGCACCAACACAAGAGCAACTAAAGTATACATATAGGTAAGTATATTAATTCCTTAACGCTACTCAATCAAAAAATCACCCCAAGAATTTTCAGATACAATTCCTTTCTACAGAAAGAAAAATATTAAAACTTTAACCAAAAAAAAAGACTTTATTCACCTTTTGAAATTATTCATAACACCACCTAGTACCTATACTCCAAAGCTTTTGACAGACCATATATAAATTAATTCAATCATGACTCTCTATTAAAAATGTAAAATGCAGCACCCATCAGTCCCTTTTTTCTAAATTAACAGTAGAAATAATACAAGAGGCAAAAACTACATTTCAGAATGTCAGGATAGAGGAATCATAGTTGTTGCTTTTTTTTTTTTAAAGAGTGTTAATGCCAGTAAGTCTTTTACTATAGATATTAACATCTCCTGCCTTGTTATGAGGCTTAATAATTACTGTGAACTTAAGGGGCAGCCATAAATCTTCCAGGCTATGCCAAGGTTTTCCATTCTCCTCCCAGAGCCTTTGGAAGACAATGAAATACTCAGTAACATACATGTATACACACACACACACACACACACACACACACAGCTATGTTATAAACTCTGGCATTTGTTTCAGTAACAAATATCCAACTACTGTCTAGTGACCAGCTAATGTACAGGCAGTCCCTGGGTTACAGATGAGATATGTTCCTGAGAACATCTGTAGGTTGGATTTATATGTAACTTGGATCCCTGATGAATAGTGTATATACAGTGGTAGTAATAACAACAATACTATAATGGTGCATATGTGGTAATAATAATAGTGTAATACTATAATAATAACACCACCCCTGTACTGTAATAATTAGTTACAGAAAATATTGTGCTCTTTAATTCA